AAGTCCTGGATAAACCAGCCCCAGGGGGTGTAGCTTTGAGATGGCAGACAGGCGCTTGCAGCTACATTTCACCTTGTCACGTGGGGACAGTCAAGCACGTAGCCTAAAAATGAGGAGTAACACGGCCCTTTCACCAGCTGCAGGAGAGTAATTGGGAGGAGCTGGTTGTTTTCCTGGCTGGCTTCTGCATGAAGGCCCAAGTGCTGGGAAGGGCTGTGCAATCCTCTGTGTAAAGCAACTGTTGGCAAAAAGCCTTGCCCAACAAGATTTTACTTAGATTAACTCCTTGCTTGAGATTTCCTGGACTATCAGACCTCTTTTTTTTCTTTTTTTTTTTTTTTCCCCCCCTCTCCATCCTGCCTCACTGGGTTCAGAGGTAATCTTCATGCAAGATCAATTTAGTAAGAGGCACTGCCCCTGTCCAGTCTTAGTTGTTGTTCATCAGAGCAGTGCAAAAGAGTTCTGAGTTTGGGAATAAGTCCATAGGAATTTCACCCCGTGGTCAGATTGGTACGGACTGAAGGTTTTTGCCTTGCTCTGTAGCAGGCGACATGGCCCTCTACCCAGGACCTGGTCGGCATATATTGACAGCATTTCACAAAAGCAGTACATTGGCTGCTGTGGTTCCCCTGGGGCAGATTAAGGCGTTAAATCTGCCATGACACAATGCAGACCTATGTGGAGTTTAGATGATCGTTTATATGGGATGGTTTGGATAGGGAAGATCCTGCCTGGGGCGGGGGGTTGGATTAGATGACCTCTGGAGGTCCCTTCCAGCCCTGCTTCTCTACGATTCTACGAGTAGGCAAGACCAGTGACAGTGTTATGTGAGGCTAGCGGCTCTTTTGTGACTAAGAGTTCTAACTAAAGGTCAGTGTCTGGTCTTCAGTTATGATCTGTTAGGTACTAATTTAGGCCTTCTGTTTTATTTTGAAAAGGGAGTCTTCCCAAACCTGATGCAAACATTGTTGTCTGTACCATTTAAAAAAGAGTGTAGATGGTTTATACAGAGTTTGTTTTTACAAAACGTTTCTGTGCAGCATTAAAGCCCAAGTCCACTGTGTTTGCGCACAAAGAAGGAAGTCAGTCTAGCTAAAGATTATGAAATGGCCCAGCCTAGTTTCATTGCTTAAGCTGGGTGTTTGCTTGTTGCATTTCAAGACCTGTCAAGATGGTAACTTCTGTGCAGAATACTTCAGTTGTAATAGATGAGGGTTGACTTATGCAGAGTTTAGATTATGGATTCTATAGGATGGTTTAGATATAGATGTTCCTGCCTCAGGCAGGGAGTTGGACTACACCTTTGGAGGTCCCTTCAGAGCCCTACTTCTCTATAATTTGAGTCTATGATACAACATTTGCTTTTGATGTTGTGTACTGCTAACAGATGCCGCTAGAGGAGGTGTGAAAAAAGGCTTTTGTTCAGGGTACTTTTAGGCTGGGTCACGGCTTGGTAAAGCCAGCTCTCATTGGAGTTGGACTACCCTATGGCATCCCAGGCTGGTATGCAAAATTAAAACTATTCAACAAACCTTAATTACAACATGCTGACTGCTGTTAATTGGCTTTTGTGTATACTGTAGAAATAAATGAAGCTTTTTTAAAAAGGCAGACCTTAAAGTGGATCTGTAGGAATTCTTAATTTAAAACTGCCCTATGGAAGTTGCTATCCCAGAACATTGTGGAGGCAAATAAATAGCTCTGTAGGATTCAGAACCAGAGCATAGCTATACATGACCTAGCTAGGAAGAAATGGCTCCCCACAGCATCCTAGAAGTGGAAAAGACCTGCTGTATCATTCACTCCATTCCTCCCAGCCATGGCAGAGAGGCTGGTTTTCTGTGGGAGACTGTTAGACAGCCTGTTAGATTCATGGTTAGTTTTCTTTTTCTTTAAGCCGAGTTTTTATTTTAAATTTTAATGCCAGTAGTTTTAATGAATACCCTAAAGAATTCCCTCCTGGTGTGTCTCCCTCCCTAATGCCTGGGTCTTGTGGATTGTTATCCTGTCTTTTTTTATTCTTGCATAACTCATAGCAAGCCTACTTCATTTTCAGTCTCTTCTCATAAGATCCAGATTCTCTAACTTTTTTCGCCAGTAGTTTTACTAGTGCCTGAATTCCTAGTAACTTCCCCAGGTGGGGCCATGTATGTAATAGTATGGGTATATATGTATGTAGCTGCCTTCATCTGTGGTTCCTCTATGCTGCCAAAATGTGTGTTGGAGGAGGCTTTCTTTGCTGTCTTACCATACTACAAATCTGTTGTTCCTGAATCTCTTTCAGTATTTCTGCTTCCCCAGCTTTTCTTACTTCAAGATCTTTGTGGGCTCACTTACCCAGATTCACTGACATGCATTTTCCTAAGCTGGCTCTATCTTCTCACTGTTTCTTACCTCTCCATGTACCTGTTTCTATGTACTTACTAGTTCTCACAGTTCCTATCAGTTTAGTGCCCATAGCAAATGTCATTAAGACATTACTACCTGTCTTGTTCAGCAGTGATCTAGAACAATCTTGTCACTGCACTCCATGGTTCCTCAATTCATCATTTTCCATGCAGTTTTCTGAGTCATTAATATTAGCTTACAGTCTTTACAGGTTTACATGTAACATCTGCAGTTAGTCTAGCTGTAAAGTTATTTCCCCAGTAATATAGCTTACTTGGTGGGAATCGAATTACTGAAGATACTAATTTCCCTGTAACATCTAAAATTGGACACTGGATATCAGGGTACTGGACTAATCAGGATAGTGGCGTGTTCTGAGATAATTATTTTATTTCAAAAGAAAAGTTGCAGAAAATCCTGCTGCTTCCAATGAGAAGAGCACTGTTCCTCCCACAACTTCCCCTGCTGGTTTTGGAGATGTAGGGAGAAGCCAATTGTCATGCAAAGTAAGGGGCTTCCTTTTTCAGGGCCAGGTTGGCATCTGTGGTGATGAGAGTTTTCAGATCTTCATAAACCATGCAGACATGCTTGTGGGTCCAGCCTACTCTCCCCCATCAGAGCTGAGCCTTTCAGAGAAAGTTCAGAATTTGTGGTTATTTGTGGGATTGTTCATAGCTCAGGAACGTCACTTAGTTTGTGCACCTCTAATTTGTCTCTTCCCTACCCCTTCCTGCAGTATTCTGAAGCATTGTAAAGATGTGGAGCTTTCCTTCAGCGATGTGTCTGACAAGTCTGATCTGTTCAGAGGCACCAAAAAAGGAATGCTGTACCTTACTCCCTACAGGGTAAGTCTTGAGTCAGTGGGTTTCCCCACTTTCCTCCAATGATTCCATAGGCCTCTAGTCCAGCAGGCTTTCAAATGAGGCTTGTGGCTTTTAGGAGAGAGAATTTCCAAATGTATAATGTCTCAAACTGCACACTGTTGTGGGAGGTAGGGGTGTATTTCAGGTGGGTAAGCCTTGCATATAGTCAGCAAAATATTTGAGGATGCTTCTGAGTGATAGATATGGTAGCTATGCAAACTTGCACTTAAGCATATCACAGCTTTAGTTCTTCTCTCTAGTAGCCTTCAGAACAGAACTGTCTTGAACACTTTAAAATGTTCCTTTCACTGTAGGTATTTATAGACTGACTGATTGTAAATCAATGACTTCAGTCTTCCTTCCTGCCTTGCAGATGATCTTTGTGTCAAAGGGCAAGGACCCCATGCTGTCCTTCATGATGCCATTCTACTTGGTAAAAGGGTGCTCCATTGAGCAGCCTGTCTTCTCTGCCAACTTCATCAAAGGAGTGATCCAGGCTGAGGCAGGAGGTAAGGCATTGCAGCTCCAAATAGCCTTGCCTTCTTTGAGCTTCCCGTGTGTCCTCCTTTTCTTGGCCCACATTTCTAATAAAGAGCTTGTTTGCATGGGGAAGAATGACTGACAGAGTGATTGCATTATAATTGTGCTGGTGTGACTGTATGGATGCAGTATTCTGAAATAAGTGGCTTTACTTCTAGAATGGAGTAATAGTGGAATAACTGATTTGGCACAGGGGATATTTTTGTTAACTCTTAACTTCCTTGTTAACATCTAGGTCATAACTGTTCTCTGAATTTCTGTTTCTGTTGCCCTCATAGCTGTTACAGCTGTGAGGTAGGAGGGGCTGACATCAGTCACTGATTCTAGCAGTGGCTTGCAGTTTCTCTGTACAAAGAGAGCTTGCTTTCCTGAAAATCATGATGTTATACTGCCTGTATGTACCTCTTGCATATGATGGTACAGCAGCAATTTGGATTTGATCCTGAGTTTTAATTCCTGAATGTAGCTATCATGTGATGGCTACATGATCATGTGATCTTGATCTGGTTCCTAGTAGGTGTCTACATCATAGAAACCACAATTAGCACGTGGCAGGCACAGAGATAAAAACTGAGACAAAACAACCATTGGGACAGCTCCCTCTCAGTTCTAGGTCTTGTCCCTGCCAGTGTGAAGTAGGTGGGTGGAATGAGGGATAGGAGTACACTACTACCACCTGCCTCTGTTCTAGCATGGCTAGGTTTCCAGGGTTGTGAATTTGGCACCTTTCACTGGCATTAAATTCCAGTTTGGGGAGATGCTCCTATAGTAGTCATGATACCTTACCATTGTAAGAAGCAGAATTATAAGCATGCTTTGCACGTTTTACTGTGCCCTTCATTTGCTACATTCCTTTAACTTGTCAGCCCCCTCGACCGATGCGCACGCACACTTTGACTTCTTCCTCTAGTTTTTTTCAA